CGCTGCGATTAATCCAGAGTGGATGAGCGGAAAAAGACTAGCACACAGAAAAGTCTGTTTGCTTGTCAAATTGGGCAGGGGTGCCATGGTCTTCCTTGGCAGCCTCTCCTCTCGCCGAACACACTTGCCACCCTCCAAGATGGAGAACTTGAACCTTACGAGAAACACGATCATAAGGAGGCAATTGGGAGAAGTCCACTAAAAAAGCCTCACCGGTGTCTTTTTCAGGATTCCTCTGGAACAAACTCATTTCAGCTAAGATGCGTTGAGCCCAAGTCCATGCCATCCATACGAACGAACTGGCTCACCGTGGCCTGATGTCAGAAGACGCTGAGGCAGCTTGGTCTGCGCCATTCTGTGCAACTCGAGGTGACCAAGTTGAGAGACAAGTTCTACAAGCAAAGAACATCAAAGAACTACAAGCAACGCAAAGCTTTGGTCACAAGCAAGCTGCAGCTGAGCGCCTTCGGTGCACCATGATACATCAAGGCACTGAAGAAGCGTGCGAAGCGCATCTCTGGGTTGGAAATGTCTTGCAAGCCATCTGGCCCGCCCACCTCGAAAGGACTGAAGAAAACACGGGCATCCACATAATCAACCCTCCACCACACAATTCCAGTTCCAACCTCGCAGATCTACTTGACTACACAAATCCTTGTGCGTTTAGGCTCTTCACTCTGTATTCAATGAACCCACCTCCTTGCAGAAAACCACCTTGCAGCTTGACTGCTGCCTGCCAAACGGGCCAAACCCGTCCTCTCGACTGCTTCTCTGGACGTGTCTCGTCTACCCCGTGTGCGAGGCCAAACGAACGGAACCCAAAACGTGTCGGAGACTTGGGATGAGCTCTGTAGGGACTCCTCTGTACAGACAACTGCGAATGTTGACACAGCTGCAACCATGTTTCGTCCCATTTCTAAGATTTGGCGACTGAGTGGATGGCAGCAATTTGCAATGTTGGTAGTCTAGAGTGGCCTCCCTGTCAAACAGTTTGTGAAGTTTTGGTTGGGAATCAAGCTTGACTGATGTGTCCATCCACCAGCCGTATCCAGCCGTCAGATCAACTCATCAAGAACCCCTTCGCCATGCTGTTGGAATTATGCAGTAGGTGACTACATCTTTGCTGCGTGTCAAATCTCTTCCTCTCGCATTAGCAGCAAAACCTCGTGGCAAAAACATGTTTTGGGAAATCAAGAGCGGCATTTGAGAGTCCTTGAAATGCACGGCTTTTCAGAGCGAATCAGCTGGGCCGCACCATCAACAGTCACAGCTTGCATGAGACATTGGGGCCAGAATCATACTAGCCTCCAGGCTCCCGCTGGACTACTCCTCCAGGCTCCGTGTTCGGAGATATTGCTAAACCGCATGTTTTGTTGACGGTGTTTTGCCAAACCGAAGGGCAAAACAACCTGTTTGGTATTCAACCTCTTTGAGGTTCCGCGCCTCTTCTGTCGCGCAGCTTCAGTGGAGTGATGATCCGTTTGTAGTGCTTCTAGGTGAAGCCCTGGGACTGCTTTGACCTGGAGCGAAGGTATAATTGCTGTCGCAAAACTCATTCCAAAGTGCAACAAGTCAAGTCAGCATGATTAGAGTAAAATCTGTAGCAAGATCACGGACCAGCTTGTGAAAAGTTTGAAGGGGTTCGATCAATTCCCTCTCCTTGAAGTTCATGCAGTTCTCAGGGGTCTAGCAAAATGTATGGAATTTGGCCTTGAGGAGGTTGGAATGTATTCGATGTTCTGCCCTGTTGTGCTGTACCTGCATCAAGAATGTCGTGTGCATCTTTCTTCATGTTGCAGCAAGATGTTCAAGAAGTCTTGCTGAACATAACAGCAGAACTAAGTACTGTAGAGGACTGTTGATGTTGAGTTTAGGCAATCATATTGTTTTCTCAACTCCAAAACTCATGGTTGCAGTTGACATGGATCAGGTACAGCAAGTCCTGCGTGGGTCACGGGTCCGGGATCTCTCGACCGAGACTCCAGCATCCGTGTCATATGCCAACACGAGTCCTGCAGATCAGGGATGTCCTTCCTTGCACAGCACACGAAGCGGAGCCGCAAACTCAGCACAGTGGTAAGAGCAACGGAAAGAGAGCAAGTGTGCTGACAGCCACCAGTGTCACATATTCAGGAACCTTAAGACAACCACGAGCGAAAAGACTCTAAGCCTCTAAGCACACAGCCACGGCGGCCACAGCCCAGCGGCCCAAGGCAAAGGGGCACATACTGTAAAGAGAGCAGAAGTCAAAGCGGCACCATTCAAAATCCTCCTTGACCTCACTCCTTGGGCACTCTTCCCTTTGCAGGCCTGACTTCCTTCCTGTGTTCCCCTTCCTGGATCTCCGAACTCCTCCCCTTTCTGCCTTAAGGACAAACATTGACAAACAGTCCGCAGGCAAACCGGTCCACCAACAGGGCGCAGTACCGCTCCCATTGCAAGCTTCACCGGTCTCAGTTTGACTGCTTGCATTCAGCTATTCAGCTGTGGGCCAAAGCCAACAAACGCACATTCGCCTGAAGTGCTTGATGCCCTTGCAACTGGATGGAGCTATGACCGTCCCGATCTTCCTTGGAGACAGGCAAGCCTTCGACCCCATGTCAATGTCTTGAATCTTGAAGAGGAAAAACAAAACAATTGAAACACGTATACAAAGAAAGGTCTCATTTTGCACATCACATTGCCAAAGAACTTGAAACTTGGAGGGGATTTGATACTGCGTACCTTCGACTGAACCTTCTATCTAACTTGAGGCCTTTGCTGGGTGGACATGAGGCACTTGGCCAATTTGGCGCTCAGCCTGTCACGCACTTCAATCTTGTTCCTTTTTCTGAAACGTTTGGACGAAGAAGGCAAACATGACCCGCCTCCCAAGCTGGTCGATGATTCTCCCGGGCTGAGTTGGCCATCTGAAGCAAGTATGTATTCTGTGCCAACGCCTGCCAGCTCAGAAAAGTCGACAAGTCGTGGTCATCTGTGGTCATCTGTGGTGAGTGTGTGCGGTCACCTGCTGAGGCCAAGCTGCACGGGGGAAGCGGCGCTTCTCTTGCGATAAAACCTGGAACACCAAAGCTGCACAGACATCCTTCACTGAATCCAGAGGTGCTCTCAAATTCCTTGACTTCTTCGGCATCAAAGGTGCTGACCATCCCACGCCAGGATGAGCCATCCTGCGAGAGGGTGAATGTAGAGAGGACTTCAAGAACTACGGTAGAAACAACCTGAGGACTCCCACATCACCACAATCACCACAATCACCATCAGGGTCATGACGACAAATCTTGACAACTGCAGTGTCTTGAAAACGATCATGGTTGTTGCCGCTCCAAAGAAACGCTTACCTTGGTCGAGTTCATGATGGGATGTATCTTCTTAGTTCAGCATTCGATCGTGTAATTTGTTTTATGACAGGCAAGCCCCCATCATCCGTGTCCATTACTACAGTAGATATTCATCATCTGACCAGTCAATCACATCACAGGACAGAATCCTGAAATAACCTGCTACCCACTTAACCTGCATCCCACCACTGAGGGGGCAGGTATAATGTTGGTACAATACGACAATTGCTTAAAGAGCCCAAGAGCAAACTGTATCAACTAATGCTCGACTCACCCTGTACCAGGCCTTTTTTCCGCATCGGCCAAGTGCATCACTTGCCACGCAGACCACATCCGGTACCTCGTGTCAAAAACATGAGATTCGCTCAAGAAGGTATCTTGGTATCCAAGACCTTCTGCATGGGAGCCATGAGCTGGCCATGACAAACTAGAAATACAGGCAGCAGTTCAGCCCAAGGTACCATCGAAGAGAACAGTGTGCTGTGTAGGTCTTCTCCAGCAGGGACCTGCACACTCAATTTTTGAGATCAAACATGCAAAAAAGGAAACGCTACTAGGAGCAAAGGGCATCGCTACTAGGAGCAAGGACGCTACTAGGGGCTCCTGGCCATACTACTAGGAACAAGAAGCTATTAGGAACAAGAAGCGCAAAGAGATGACTAGTCCTTGGACTTAAATTCACCATAAGCTTGCACGCTGTATATGAGTCGCACACTATTAGAACACCATCATTAAATTCGACACGCTATCAGGAGCCAGAGTTTAAACCCGAAAGGAAGCGAACAGCCTCAACTTCAGACGTGGCAGAGACAATGGTGGTCAAATATTCAGTGCGGTGCAACAAGTCCTGGCACTACACGGCTACAGCAGGTCTAAAGTTCACAGGAAGAAACTGAAATGTCCAAAATGACCACAAACTTAATCCGGATTTGTGAACCTCTGAAGTACCGTGTCCTGCTGCTTGCGGTCCGTGTACGCCTCAGAGCGAAAAACAAAAAGAATGCACAAATGAGTAAAACATTGCAAAACAACATACAGAACAGCTGCAATCACAAAAGAGTCGAGCAAAACTACAGCTTTGATTGAGACTCCCACTTTCCATGCCAGCACCTTGCACCATTGTTTCCGAAGTAGGGAGAACGGTTTTGAAACTCTGTGCTACTAACAGGTTGGATGGTGTCAACGAGCCACAAACAAAGATTCTGAGTCGGCAACGCCCTCGCCAGGTTTAATGGTTCGCACCATGCGAGGAGTTCTCGTGCGCGGGGTGGCATCCATGGCCACGAGAGTCTTTGTTTCAGTGCACAAATCTTGTTGTGCCCCCCTTGCAAAAGCCTTGTGCTCTGCGTTTATTGTTTTATTTTGAGTCGATTGGGCGATCAACACCGTCTGATGGAGAAAGCTGGTCGGCCTTCCTCCATAAAGAAAAGTCCACATTCTTACAAGTCAGCCGCTGATGTGGCAGTCTTTATGTGGGCAAGTTAAGCCGGAACTCCGGCAGGGCGGAATGGCTATCACCACGATAGTCCACAAGGATATTCATGCCTTTGAACAAAATCAATCAGTCTCTGTAGTCTCTTTTTGTCTGCAGCAAAACATCTGCCCAGCAAACCCAAGAAGACTGTCCAGTTTCTTGATTCTGTCTGCTGGGCCCCTTACCAACCAGCTACCCTCCTGTGCAAAACAGGCCGTAAACCTTTGGTCTCAGTTCTCAGTATCCAAATGGTAAATGACAATAGGACTCCTCGTCGTTGAGATCGCCGGCGCAACAGCCTATAAAAAGGTCAGCCAATTATGTCGTCTGGTGCACACGTTGCGCTCTATTGCATAAAAGTTCCCCCTGCATGGAAATGCCATAGGTGAATGCACCAATGGAGAAGCCAGTTCAACCAGCAAAAACAACAGACTGCAGCTACAAATTTCGACCTTCTTGGACATTCAGCAGTAAATGGGGTGCTCATTGTGCTTGTCTCAAGTTGACGCTTAAAACATGGCAGCTCGCCTGGTCGTTTGGGTTTCCGTGACTTTGACCGTCTGCTTGGCTGGGCCTGCCATGAAGTGCAATATGTTTCCCCAAATTGTAGGGGAACATATACCTGAGAAGGGGGGGGACGAAAGCCAGCAGCCGCCAGACGAGTGCCTCTTTTTCTGGCAGGCGTCGGTGCCGCGGATGCGGGGGGGCGTATGTAATGATAATGGTGATGGAGGGAGCAGAGAAGCAAGCCGGGCGGCTTTGGGATAAGTTTGGTATGAAAAACAGTGAAAGAGAAATGCGATACGTTGCATGTTGGTGTAGGCCATCATCACAAGGCAATGGTATGTGTTTGTCACACGCAGGAAGGGGGTATGCATCTTATGGAAGATGGAAGGCGAAGTCAGGGTTAGCGAAGGGGAAATACCGTCTGAGTTCGAGTGGTGGAATACCACGTGCGCGCACGCACGCGCGCAGGAAGACCTTCTCCATAGTCAGGGCCACCACGTGCGCGAGTACGGCATGCGTTTGAAAAGAAGCAGTTATGTGTTTGTTACACTTGGAGCGATTGAAGTTTGCAATGCGTACTCTGGCACGTCGAAAAGCGGCATTCGTGGATTTGGAAGAGTGAACGGGCACGTCTTAGCCAGCGGGACACGGACTTTTGACCCCGCGGCGCAGAAGGGGAGGTCCAGCGGGAGTAGCTTGGGCTAGCAAAGGAGTGAGGATTTGTGTTATGATGTCGTAACGTCGTATCCAGGGAGCGGAGGGCGGCGTGCTCATTCTGAATGAACAAGGTGTAGGCTGCCCGAATTTGTTCGGGGCTCGGCTGCGAGAGGAGTTTGCGATTAGGTAGTCGAAGGAGAAAAAGATCTTCAAAGTTTGGGACCCGGCTGAGCAAGACGAAGCAGGCGATCCAATAGTCTTCGCGCCGGCGGTTTTGTTGGAAGTTGAATGTACATGGACAACAGGCTCAGGCGAATAGTAAACAAGCGGCTTTCAATAGAAACGCAGCACGGAAAGTAGTGGGGTGAAGAACCAGTGTCTTACAAGTCCAGGTGTCCCGGCTCATAACGGGGGACTTACATTTTGCGGCGCGTGTGGACGCCGCGAGAAGCAGTCACTCGACCGAGGACATGGTGCAAGTATAGTATATACAGTCCAAATACATGGACGTGAACTCGTGTCACTTTCGGTTCTCTTTGTATTTGGCGGGTTGCGGGTTGTCCACGGAACTCGTATCCTACGTGTGGCTGCGGTCTGCTCTGTACCTGGGCCCCTGTCTCCACTCGAGTGCTCAACGCCCATTGCCCAAATAGCCTCCAAAGCCCTTCATGATGCTAATGATGCACTACTCGGCGTCCATTGCATCACTCGCATCACCAGACCCCATTTTCACTGCTTTTCTGACCCTCGCTTTGGAGCGCTCTCCCCCACCAAGCTCTGGGTTCACCCTCTCAAAAGGTCCTTCTCAACAACCACCCCCCCACACACACCCTCAACTCATTCGTTCGCTCTAAAAGCTCAAGCCTGGCCTATCGGCTGGCTTTCATAATTGTTTGTCCATGACACAAGCTGGTATGAAGTCTACGCCCCAGCTGAAAAGAGAATGGTGAAGTGGTTGCACAATGGAGTTGAGTCTTACCTCTGCTCGCACAATTATTGCAGCACGGCTGTGAAGTGGTTTGGTGTTTCCAATGCATATAATCATGTAGTGCAAGCACACTGCCAAAAACACTACCAAGTTACACCGGCATAGGCTTCTTGCTGTGTAGTCGGCAGTGCCATGGTAGGCTAAAAGCCAGGGAAAGACTTCAAAGGTGGGTAGTCCCGCGATGCCGACACGGCGAGACCATTGGGTGGGTTGGATAGTGCGGTAGAGCTGGTGGCCATGGAGGGAATTTGAATCCCAGTGTGTGTCTGTGGCGCGCCATGAGTCCTGGAGCGGTGGCTTGGGAAAGGGGATGGTAGGTGCCGCTGCTGCTGGAGGTGGCGGAGGTGGTGGTGGAAATTCGTGGTGTGTTGGTGGAGAGTTGGTGGTTGGAGGCTGTGAAGGTGAGGGAGTGTACGGGTGGTGCTGATGAGCCTGTTGAGTACGGACAGCGTGGTCATGGGGCCATAGGTGCCGATCGGAGTGTACTGAAGGTTCTGTAGACCTTGCTGGGCAGCTTGAGTCTGTTGATGAAGGTAGTGCTGCCAGCAGTACTGCTGCCAATTTGCGTCCATGGTGAGAAGGCTGGTAGGCAGCGACTGAGTGCGCGGTAAGCTTGTTATTTTGAACAAAACAGCTGGAAAAAGGCGAAAATGGTCAAACGGTCAAAGTCATGCATGGATAAGAATGACGCTGGTGAGATGGAAAAACAGGAAAAAAGGGGAGCAGAAGGAAAGGGAAATGCAGCGGGGCGAAAGGAAGAAGGACAAACAAAAAGACTGAGCATGCATACATGAACAAAAAGTGGAAACAGCCAAGCTGGTTGTCTGTTTGTTTTTCGTGGTGCGAGGTGAGACTTTCGCTGGTCGCGGACAGTGGCTGATATCCAACAAAATGGCTGACAATCCTGCTAGATTAAGGAGTAAACTAGACGGGAAGGTGCAGTGGAAAACAGAAAACAAACAAAAGTTGGTAAACCGGGCCTAAAATTGATACCTGCCGATGGACTCCACTGTTGTTGTGGTACTTTTAGCCGTGGAATGTACCGCCTCACTGATTGTCCGCATGCCACGGGTCCCATTCTGGGATGTAGGGTTGCTGCGATTGAGGTAGCGGTCCCAAATAGCAACTAACTCAAAAACACAAGCAGATGTCAAAAAGCTAAATACTTCACAACAAAAAGAAACATGAGAGCTTCTGGCAATGCAGCAAAAGAATCAAACAGGCTTGCACCGGCACCTGCACCCAGCACCGGCACCTGCACCCAGCACCGGCACCAGCACCGACACGGCGCACACAGCCCGCTCACAGCACCGCACCAACACCACCGACACCATCGCTATCTGGGGGGACCTAATTGGGGAATGACTCCAGGATACATAGCCAAAGACTTTTGTGGGGCAGCACACTGCAGCTGCACTCTGCAGCTCCCTCCAACGGCGCCAGCACCCAGCCTCCAAAGCGCACTCGACCAAAGACACATCGCAGCAGCATTTTCGGCGGCACTCTGCAGCGGCAGCAGCAACCAAGTTCCAAAGTGCACACAGCCACACATCCGGCAGCAGCGCCCTGCAGCGGCACCAGCACCCAAGCTCCAAAGCAGCAGCATCCAAAGCGCACACAGGCACCTCTTCCTATACTTGAAGTAAGAACCCCAATAGCTCTCACTATCTGGGGCAAAAAACGGTGTATTCTAAGCAGCACCATATGCAAACACTTTTGGAAGCCAAAATGTTGTGTATTTAGGTTGTGTGTGCTTTGGGGTTGTTGGGCAAAGGTGTTGAAGAAATTGGCTCCAGTAGTTTGGTGCTCTCGAACCAGAAAACACAAAATGATATTGAAAATAGAATTGTTCGGTGTCTGATAGGGTAATGGTTGTTAAAGACAGAACAAGCCACAACACAATGTAGAAGTAGAATTGTTGGCTTCACCAGAGAGATCAGGTTTTTAGGTGTTTCCTTGTTTCGTTTCATTTCGGTCTTCATCTTTCTTGAAAACGTGTTGTGCCTTTTGCACCCTGTCACGATTGAGGACAGTGCCCACCAGGCACTCTAGGGAGTACATAACCCCAGGACTTACACTGTCCGCCGAGTGGACCAACGGGGCCAGAGCCGGGGTAGTCTCACCACTTGGCCATACCGCTGCCGCAGCGGAAAAAAGCAAAACCTGTCATTTTCAGACCGCTGGACCGGCAAATTCAAGGCCCTCTCGAGAAAGACAAGATAAAGTGTGTTTGTGAATATTCTATTTGTATGATGGTTTGTTTGGTTTGCGGCTTTTGGTTTGCAGAAAACCTCTGGAATACCCAAAACGAAAACACCTGTTTTTTTGTTCTTGAATAGATAAAAGACATGAAAATACCAAGAAGCTATTCACCCTGTCAAGAAAACCAAGAAAAAACTGGGGACACAAACAAGAAGGTGTCTTCCAACTACTCAAACAAAAAATCGGGCTTTCCAAAGAAAAAGAACAAAGAAGGAAAGCAAAACGAAACGGTTTCGTGAAACCAAAACGGTGTCGCCTTTTGGAACAGCCTCCGCAAATGGAGAACAGCGCAGCCGATTCTCTTTCTGTTTCTTGTTGGTTTGGTGCAGCCAAGACTATCACCACTTCGTCCGTGGAGTCAAAACACAGCGTTCAAAATCAATATCTCACCCCATCCACCGCCCGATTCTTTGTATATCGTAATTGGATTAATCACACTCACCATTCCCTAGCGGTGCCTTCCTTTACTGAATGCCTCAAAGGCGGTTCTTCCCACATGTCTATCTCTCAGCACTCAATAACCTGCAGCTAGTTTTCAATATCTCCCAGGTCTCACGGGTTTTGTCACGGGTCTTTTGGCTTTATGTTTAGCTCCCGAGATGTTGCAAGGGACAAGTAGCGAATCGAAAAGGAGAAGAGCGATTAAAAATCGCGTCTGGCTCTGTATAATCCTTGCATTGCTTCATTTATGTCAATCTTGAGTCTGGGGATACTACTACAGAGGGATACTACTTGCCAGAATCATGGCCAAATACCAACATATATAGATAGAAATACCAGCACTCACTACATAATACCACAAACTACCCACAAATGCCATCAGCACACTCAGCAAAAAGAGCCTGGGGACCCTGAGCCAAACCCAATTGCAAAGGCAACCTACTGCTTCTAAGATTCTAGCCTCCCTTCAAACTTGAATACAAAAAGTTGAAAACCAGAAGTTCAGCATTGAGGCTTCAGGCCAATTAGGCAACAGAAGCACAAGGTTTTTTAGGTGTCCATTCAAAATGAAAAAGTATGTTTTGGTATGTCCCTGACAGTGGTTTGATGACTTTAAGGAGGAGGAGCGACCCTGTTTTCATAAAAGATTATTAATTATTGTGATTGTCCGTACTCTTCGTAGGCTGAGTTTGTTCTGCAACTGGACATGAGGAAAACAATGGGGAAGAGTTAAATTTTGGAGACCGGGAGCTCGTCTTCTACTATTTTGTTCTCAGTATTCATATGATTTCAGATACTGAAAAAATCTGCCGGACAAGAAAAGGAATACAGTAACGTTTGAAGAAAAGGATAGTACGAAGTCAAAGAAAACAGGAAGAGAAAGATGAGAGATGGTGCCAATCAGTTTACCACAGGAAGCACTGAACAACTTTACAAAGAAGAGAAAATAGCAATGAGAAACGGCTAATCACAAAAAAGAGGAAGTAGCTACGATGCAGAGCAAGTAAATTATGAAGGTTGACAAATGTTTAAGAAAATGTCGAATATATTTCCTGGATACGGCTTGAAACCACGAACGAAAAAGAAGAGCGAAATGAGAGATGGCACAAATCAACTTATGTACAGTAGCAGGATTATACTGAATTGTAAGATGAGGAAGAGAAGCCAAGCATTAACAGAACAAACTACTTAGTCCAGAAGGAAGCACGGCTGGCTGATCAAAAAGGTAGCTAAATGTCGGCAGTGAAATTTGCAGGATATCACCAGGCTATGGGCCAGCCGGCTGTTGTTCATTTGGATGTGCAATTCGTCTTGCTCCTTCATCAGCATCCTCTTCTATATATATAGGTCCTTCTTATTCTTTAGAGGCTTTCTTGGTCGGAGAGACTTTATGTTTCTCTCCGAGCTCGTTCAAATACTAACTAAACACCACTGAGAATCACCAAAGGACACAATGTGTCTCTCATCACAAGTAGATTCACGCCTTGCAAGATATTGTCTGCAAGGTGTGCTCACTGCTAGATTGCAAACATTTACTTCAATGACAGATGCAAATGATCACATTGATGTAGTACAAACTCTTCTGAAAATATTGCATTTCTGTCAGAAAGGTTGGTCCCAGAGGGACCACTGAGCATATTGTATATATACGGGCAGGTTTGTTTCAACTATTTTTTAGCTCCACACTGGCACATTACCAGCAGAAACTCTACATGACTCTGCCTGCTGACGACGACTCTTGTAAGGGATATGGAGTTAAAATAGGGTCGTGAGTCGTGCATGTCTTTCAACCGATCTGAACAAGTTCTGCCGAATCCGTCCTGGTCTTGGCAAGGCTTTGGTCTCAATTGTCTCCCTGGAGCACAGCCATGATTTTTGTGGCATGCACATTGACTCAAAAGGGCAAAAGAAAGCAGGCAGAACGTAGGGCAAGCGCCAAGTGCATGCAATCACCGGCTTATGCACTGCACTCAGCTCCCTTGTGTTTTCTTCCATCTGTGTGCGTGTGTCAAGAAACCACAAGCTCCAAAAGTGTTTGGGTCATAGTGAGAAGCCAACGGAGGACACGTTGGGCCCAACTCGTTGGCACCTTGGCGCACTGGTGTGGCGATGGAGGACACGGTCACCTAAGTGACGCAAATGCGCAAATGCCACTTGCAGCTGTCGAATGAAAGGATTAACAGTGATTGGCAGCAAATCGCTCTCTTGGATTTGCAGTCATGGCTTAACAAAAGAAATATATATGTAGTCAGGCGCCAACACCAGCAGAGCCGTGTACAGGGCAACTATCTTGAACAAAAGCTTGGACATACCTGGAGAGGAATCGACAAGCCAGGATTGTGAATTGTGGATGAGGAAAACTAGTATTCTGTCTGCATCTTGTTGCCTATTCTGAGATCCAAGCGGGAGAGTATCTTCAGAAGGCTGAGCCGGTGCCTGGTACTGACTCCAGACTCCAAAGCTTGACCCCTTCTGCATGCCGAAAGATCTAAAAAGCGCTTGCCTGGAATGCCAGCGTATCGTCTCCTTGTGACTCTCACATGTAGCACAAAATCTATATATATATATATTATATATACATGCTTGGTTTGAGGGCAAAACTACTCCCAAAAGCCAAGAACCTTTGTATACACCTAGAAAAAAAGAGTCACGGATGCTCTTGCTCATTGAACTATGGACCTCAAGCTCACATGAAGCCCTGTCCTGGAGGCAATACCTTTCAGCAAGCGTGTCACACGAAACAAAAGAAGATTGATGCGTGCGATTGGTAGGACGTGCAAAAACAAAAAATGCAACACCTCATAGTTCAAAGTCTCTCCAGCAGCGCCTGTCAGTGGGGCTCAGCGAGAGTTTGGCGTCGAAGGCGTAGTTTTAACGGACCAGGAACTGCACAACAGCATGAACAGAGATACAGCAAACAACAAGAACACTGAATAACAATGGACCAGGAAAGGCTTCAAGGCCATTGCCTCTGACTGTGCTGGCTCTGGCCTAGTCCTTGAGGTTCAAGTGGCTGAGCCGCATCTGGAACCTGTCCAACTTCCACGCGGGCACTAGCAGCTGGCAAAGCATGGTGTCAATATGGAAGAGAGACTTGCTGCACTCCCACGTTACAAGCCTGACATAGTCTTGCAGTCTTACATACAGCCAGAAAAATTCAAGGTGAGCCCACATCAATCCAAGGCCTCGTAAAGCAAGGTCTCACAAGCCGTGCCTTCGCAAATCAAATACATGCAAATCCAAAGGGAACCAACATGCACTTACATTTCAATTCTGCCTATCAAAAGCAAGGACAGCTTCCGCAGAGTGTCTTGGAGGCTTCCAATAGCTGCAAAGCTCTATCCGCTCCATCCCTGCCCTTGCAAACCGGAACTACTCCTGCAACTGGTTCAACCTGCACAGCCCTGACGCAAATCATTGTGCTTAAAAGGCAGCAATGACTGTGATGACAAGATCCTACCAACACAGTGAAGGCTCCATCTTCAACCACCCGACCAATACCAACAACAGAAACAAGAGCAGCAGCAGCAGCAGCAGCACTAGTACCAACAATGACAAGAATATACTAT